AGAACAAGATCAAGAGTGTGATTAAAACAGTGAGTGGGTTTATTTACAGTTTGAGAAAAGCCAACTGAGTCTAATAATGAACAGAATGCATTGTTGAGGCTGTCATTGTCAACATCTACATGAATATTAAAGTCACCCACTATGATTATTTTATCTGTATCAGACAGAAAGTCTGAGAATTCAGTTAAAAACTCTGAATAAGGCGGCAAGTGGACAGTATACAATAATAAATAGAACTGACTTTTTGAGTTTTCCAGTTTGGGAGTGAAAGACTCAGAGGGAGAGCCGCACCACCCAAAGTGGGATGATGCCATCTCTGCTAATCAGACCAGGTTTTCCCCACAATGTTTTCCAGTTATCTATGAAGCCCACGTTATTTTCTGGGCACCACCTAGACAGACAGCGGTTGAATGACGACATGCGGCTATGTCATCACTGGTCACATTGGGTCCAGAGAAAACTACGGAGTCCGACATTGTTTTAACAAGTTACACACCAACTCAACATTAATTTTAGTGACCTCCGACTGGCGAAGTCGGGAGTCATTAGCGAATAATGACCTTACTGTATTTACCTTTATCCTTAGTCAGCAGCTTCAGATAGGATTCAATGTCGCCCGCTCTGGCCCCAGGAAAACATTTGACTATGGCCGCCGGCCACGTTGCTGACTATGGAGTCGCCAATTACCAGAGCAGTCTTCTCAGCGGGTTTGTCGCTGAGTGGGGAAAATCGATTTGAAACGTGAACAGGCAGGTGATGCTCCGTAGACATTCGTTTCTATGACTCTTGCGAACTGTCACCCAGCCACCTGGCAGAGATCCCGGCTGCTGGGGGAGCTCTGGGGGGCGGCTATCTTGGGCTGAGCTACGTCTAGGAGGCTCCACACCGGCTACCTGGGTACAGCTAGCTGGGCTGTTCTCCATGGTGCGAAGCTGTGCTTCCAAATCAGTAAGCCTCACCTCCAATGCTGCTAGCATCTGACATTTTTTACATGTACCATTATCGCTAAAGGAGGCAGAGGAATAACTGAACATGCGACACTCCGAACGAGAGGAAGAGGGGGAAGCAATTACTCTCAACTAAGCTACTAGCTTAGCTAGCTTCTAAGATAGCCGACCTAAAGTAGCAAGTTAAATTTGGTCATGAGCCAAATTTCTGTAGCACAGGTGCTTAAGTTGTTCAGGCGTATGTCTTGGCTCAAAAAATTCAGCTAAACCTAGGAATTACTGAGTTTAATCCCTACACAATCTGGAAGCAAGCACAACATGATGCAGGCACAGAAAACAGGAAGTGAGTACGGTTACCGCAGGAACAGGACACAGCAGTCTGTCAAAGGTTCCCCCAAGATCTGTGACGTCAGTTACTAAACTGTAGGTAGACATCAATATGACCAATTATACTGTAGTTGGATGAACTGTTTGTGGAGACACTTTACATAAACAAGTACTTTTAATCATTAAGAGCATAGACACAATTTAAACAGTTCCCAGTTTCTAAAGCAATGTTCATAGTGGACCTACAAAAGGTGAATTTACAAAAGTAAAATGTCTACTTCAAAAAAGTACACAAAAGCCTACTCCACCAATATCAGACAGCATGATAAAACCTATACAGTGTAACATTACAGTAAATGTATAAGTCATAAAAGCAAGCAATAAAAAGCAATAAACATGCAACTGATTGGTTTTATTCTCCTGAATAACATCCTGCTCATTTTGGGATTTTGCAACAGTGGTGTCCATTGTGACATGTGCATTCTTTTCTTTTAATTGAGTTTCAATTGTTGAACAAGCAGTGGTCTCATTGTGATCAAAGGTCACAATGAAAAGATTCACATTAAGACTGTCAACTTTTAAACAAAACCTCCTTGTGACCTGTGATCTGTTTTTGTTCTTGCCGTAGCTCATTTATGTTAAAGACCTAATACACTTAGACTGGCACACTGACACACACTTAGTTTTCTATTATCTGTGAGAGAGATGCCCAAGAGTAGAAGCAAACAAATTCTATAGTTCATTATAAATTATGAGTAATATTATTTGAAAGTGTTTGCGGAGTTCTGAGATGGTGTTTGAAGCATGAAATGAATGGAAAAATTAAAAACACTGGGACACTACGGAACAAAAGTTCACAAAATTAACAAAACCAGAGAATAACACTGAGCACAGTATTAGAGTCGAAACAGGCTGTGCCATATCCCAACCAGTAGTTGGTCAGGGAGCCAAACATTTCTGAGAAGAACTAAAAGTCTGCAGTCTGTATTATGATCCTGGTCCTGGTGCACTTTCTGATTGAAATGTGTTTATTATAAAGGTATTTAACATTTCACTCTTTGTACAAAGAACAGGAAGCAAATACAAAGCAAATGAATCTTTATTTAGCCACACATTATGTCCATAAGCATGTCCATATTAACAGCAAACAGCAGCAGTTTGACACTATTAGTGAGACACATGAAGCTGGTCTTTGGCTTTGACCAGCCTCTCAATGTCAGGCTGAAGCTGACTAACTGAGAGGGTGAGAA